GAAAATGAACCAAAAGTCCCTTTTTCTAAACCTCTAACTTCTATTTATATAGTTTTTCCCGCCTTTTGTCTTTCTACATGTTAATCTCTGAGAATTCTAGCATCAAAGGTCTTCTAGAAGCTTCTAAAACTGATTTAAGAACTCAAATCGTCTAAAGTTGACACTTAGAAGTAATATTTAAAATTTTGTTATTTTTGCGTAGCTACTCTGAATACTTGAAGTAGCTACGCGCTGACTGTGTAGCTACTCTAGGCATTTGAAGTAGTTACACGCTCAATTGTGTAGCTACTTTGATCACTTAAAGTAGCTACGCACACTGTGCAGTTCTGAATTAGCCTTGGGCGTAGCTACTCTAAAATCTTGAAGTGGCTACACGCTCTACGTAGCTACTCTGGGCACTTGAAGTAGCTACTCTCTTGATCTTCATGAATTTTCTTCTTCAAAGTGTTCACTCTATGTACTCAGAGTGATTATGCCCTTCATAAAATACTCGATTCTTCATCTTTTAGGCTCAATTCCTCTACTTTCTTCACTTCAATCTTCAACTCAAATTCTCAGTTCAAGCTTCTGCACAAGGATTAAGTCACTTTTAAGTCAAATTGTTTAGAATTGGACTAAAAATCTAAAAATAAAAACTATTTACACAATTATGAATATTAATACAATTTTTATGATATTTTCAAGTTTGCTTAGCACTTTTCTACTTATTTATTAACAAAAACTAGGTTAAAAATATAGTAAAATGTGGATTTATCACTTAGTCATATTTAACATAAGAAATTAGAGTTGTGATTAAGATTTAGTATATTCAATCAAGATATTGAACATTTACTAGAGAATTAGATTATGCAAGATTCTTGTGAAAGTGTAACTAGTGTAACATCCCTAATTTCATTAACCCATACTAATGATATATAAAATAAGTTCAAAAAATTAATCTTAGAACATGTTTAATTTATATTAAAATTAATTTTTAAAAATAGAAACTGTTTTAAAAATAGAAATCAAACATACTCTTAGAATAACTATTTATTAAAGATTTGGTGAAAACAAATAAGGAAGTTCCAAACAAAAAATTTGTGCTTGTGAGGTATCTAGTGCTCCATATTATTAAGTTATAACGTGGTCAATATTTTTGTTTTAATTTAAATTTAAGGAACTAACTAAAAGATAGGTTCTATTACACGAAACTTAAAAGAATGAAATTAAGATACCAAATAAAAATTAAACCAAAAATTTGAATTAAGAATCAAACTACAAACAAAATTGTAAACCTTGACCAATCCCATTAGCCTAGAACTTTTTATGTTTATTTTTTGTTTTTTTAACATTTTTTGTGTAACTTTGATCTTAGCTGTATATTTTGGATATCATTTTGGAGGTAATAGTTTGTACAATTATTATAGTTTGGTCTTTACTCATTGTTACTTCATCTTATGCAGTAATTGAGTTGTATGATGTTGTACACTTTGGAACACACACAAAGTTTTAGTCACTTATCGACACACCAGCACCAAAAAAAAAAAAAAAAAGTATCTCAATTTTTTCTCAAACACTCACTTTATTCGATTGAAATTTCCTTTATCTTGAAAAGTTGTGTATTTTTGTAATTTTATAACATTGAGGACAGTGTTATTTTATGTTTGGAGAAAGGAATATTTATAGAAAAATTTTAAAATTTTGTTTCTAGTTTAGTTTTAAAAATTTATTTGTAATGATTTATATGCTAAAATGAAAAAAAAAATCTGAATTTTTGAAGAAAATTTTTCTTTAATTCTTTCCAGTTTTAAGATTCAATTGTTTGTTTAGATGTAAATAATTTTTTGTCTTGAAAAGTAAATTACATTTGATGAAATTTGGAGATTGTATATTATTTTAAATTTGGATTTCATTAAATGAAGCTAAGAATTGTTTAGGATTTAAGGTATTCAATCATGGAAAATAGAAGTAAGGAAACTAAATCCATAATTTTATTTACTATGTGAAGATTTTTAGGTTTTAGATAATTATTCTTGTTGTGAGTGTTAATCACGGATCACCTTCCCTTGCATAGTCTAGAATTTACATTATTTTTTGTTTAAGTTGTTGTTGCATGTGTAGGTAGAGGTGATTAAGGCCGCCAAATAAAGCTAACCAGTAATTATTCCACTAATAGCCAATTTTTAGTCTAATATATCCCATTTTTTCATAACCTTACATTATTCGGCAAAGGAGAAAAACCATATTTTACCTTTTCTTGAGTAAAAAAGGACTTGGAAAAAGTTAATGCTTTTGCTGAGTAATTAAATGTGAAATTTCGATGCTCAAAATAATAAAAAGAAAATAAAAGAAAAAGATAGCTTGCAGCAAAGTAAAAAACTTAAAAAATAACAAAGTTTAGGGGAAAATTAAAAAAAAAAAAGAAAAGTAAATTAAAGATTTTGCTCAATGAAAGCAGAAAAAAAAATATCCCTATAAACTTTGAATAAAAGAAAGCATCAATTAATTAAGAAGTTAGCTTATGTCAGAAATATTTAGAAACTTCGTAACTTAAGACAGTAGCTAGATTCTATAACTACTTCTGCATGCATTTAGTGATAGATACTAAGAATATTTACGAGTTTATTAGCTATATCTTTGCAGAAATGGTGATTTGAGTTGAACACTTAGCCTCTAAGGAGTGATAATAAGTTGAGTGATACATTTATTCTTTGAGATATTTATGAATTCTAGTGAAAATTATACTATTTAAAGTGTTTATTGTTCTAAAATTTTTTGAATTAAAATATTATTAATTTTGAATTCAATTGACTGAGTGTTGTTACTTTTCTTTTTATTCTTGAATTAGCTAGTATCTAATTTAATTAATTGATTAATATCTTTTATTTTAGACTTTGTTCTATTAATTTTATTAAACTTTTGTACTAAACTCTGATTTGATAAATTGTTTTGATGATCCTTGAGAAATGGTTCTGATTGTTGCCTTGTGTTAGAATAATTAGAATTTTATTTTGACACGCATACAACTACGAATCAATTCCATCGAAGAAATTGGAGTTAACTCATTAGTAGAGAACTTAACTTTGATTGCATGAAAAGTGAAATAGATGAGATAAATTACAGTGTAGGAGAAGCAAATGGAATTGAATCAAATTCTAACTAGTTTTGTTCATTAATTTTTTGGTATTTTTTGTATTGTACTCTATGTTTGTTTCTTTATAACAAAAAATACCAAAAACATTTAAAATATTTTTTTTTATTTTTCTACAAAATATGTCTATTCACTACACTTTAAGTTCAAATAGAAGTTTAAGAAAGGAGTATCAGTAATTGGCCATAATTTTTGTGAGATTTATCTAAGCTATACTCAATTAAAATGATTGGTACATTAATCAGCACTATTTATATTTAAATTACAAAAAGAATAAGCATCAACTACCTTCACTATTATTGTTACTTGGTCATTAAGTGCAAAATAGGAGTGTGAAAAAACACTCTTACTGTCACTTTCATTTATTAGTTGAAATTTATAATAAAAAAAAAACACAAATGTATAGGTGAGAATTATTAAACTAAGAGTACAATCAACACATGTTTTGTGATTTTTAATAAATATTAATCAATAATAAAAATATATTTAAAAGAATATATTAATTAGACAGTATGTTATCATTAGCAAACTTTTTTTTTTTTTAACAAAGTTGTTTGTTTTGTGTACCTACCGTGCTATCCTTTTTTTACTTGAATTGTCCTGCAATGTGCATCAAACACAGCCTAGGGGTCAAATTAAGATTTTCCTTAATTTCTCTGTTAAAAAAAATTGTAACAAAGTTCAAAGAATTTGAAGAAGGATGTGGGAAGAAGGAACGTATTTTCCAAGGAAAGATGAATCACGCAAAAGAATTTATTATATATCGATTTATGATCTGTCGTTGGCATATTGATGTTGCTGAAATAACTAGACCATGCTCTAAGGTGGCAGATGACAAGTGGGAGAACGACAAGTGACACTATTATTAAAAAGCAAATTCTTATGATTTTCAACATCGGCAATAGCTAGCTCTAGTTGAGATGTTAATGTTTAGAAGTGCACGTAATGAAATTAATTTTCCAACTGCAAATTACTCCAAAAGTTGAGCAGAAATAATGGGTCAGTGCCATTCAGAAGTCTAGATTCAGAATAAAAGAAATCAAGTACAAACAAGTAAATTTTACTAGAAGTAAGCAAGAGTATATTGCTTTTTAGATTTTAAAAAGTTAAAATTATAACATATTGTGAATTAAATTTAAAACAATTTTTCTTACTAATGAAATCTTTTTAAAAATGCAACACCAATAGATATATGAATAAATATATAATTTATATTCGAAAATAATAATATACAATTAAGCTATCGAATTTATCTACTTCAAATTAGTCTCAAAATGATAAGCTAGACGAGATAAAAAGATTGCTTACGTTAAAAACTTGTCATCTCATGTCAATCAACAATTAAAAATAAGTGAAAAACTTATTATCCTTCAAAGTGAGCTACATTGGATGATTAATAAATCTAAAACAACCAATCATAATTAATTTTAGTGGGCACTCATATCTGGTATATCAAGAAACCATCTCTTCTTTGCCACATACATTAATTTATGTGCTCAACACCAAATCTTGGAATCACAAACATCATACTTTCCAGCATCATCAGAAAATCCCAAGATTTTGCCAACGAAGTCCATAATGCACTGTAGACCAGAAACTAATAGATGGCATTTGTTGTAGAGTTATTACATACAGGACTTCGCTGGCGTTGAAATCCACTGTCGGAAAAATTTCAGAACTAATTTCATTATCTCCTATCCCATTCATAACCTGTGTATGTTTAGATTTACATTTGAATCAGTGTCACTATTAGTTATAACTTCTACATTGAAGCTTTAATTATAAGTTTATCAACATGTTTTCAATCATTCAGAAACTACAAGAGAGGATCATGATAGATGGCCAAACAGGACTTTGTCTCCACGAAAAGGTTCCACCATCTCTTTTCCTTTTCAATCATAATCAAGCGTCACAGCTACCGCAGAATTAAAGTATTTCACACAACATTATAGAAAAGATAACATTATACCTTTGATACTTAACTGTTTTTTCACCACTATCATAAGAGACAGAAAATCTAAAAGGATGTCGGTCTCTATACAGTCTATGAATACAGCAAGTTACATATGCTACACAACATACTGATATTGGTAATTTTTACCTCTCAAATAAAGCTAGGCTCGCAAATGGGAAAAACAAATTGACCCTCAAACAAGACAGTTCACTAAAAGGAAATGACATATCATAAACCTACCCTGATTACTAGCTAAGTATTCCAGTTTATCTAGGATGAAGAAGATTCAACCATTTTGTTCACATCCTCTAAAAGCCCTTTCATCTTGCCCTCTAATTTTGTCTTCATATCAGGAGATTTACCATCCAATACTTCTAGCATTGAGGTCAGACTCTGAAGTTTCTGCTTTATGTAGTTTAATTTGGATGCTTCACTACCTGGTGACAGTGAAGCAGATGCCTTGGCTGGAGTATCGTCTTTTTTCTTTGCAGAAGAAGCCTTAGACTTCAATTTTTCAGACTTGGAACTAGCAGAAAGATACTCAAGTCTGAAACTGGCATCAGAAGATTTGAAGGGGCTCATGTTCTGTGAATAGCTCAACGCCTCTTCAGCATCAGAAGCTTTTAGGAAGAACACCTGAGCAGTATAACTACTTGAGAACATGTTTGTTTCGGATTCATTCAAAGTTCCAAACTTACTATACAGTGTGATAAGATCAGATTTTGAAGGCAGAGAGGATCCTGGCCCAAATGAGACAAGAAGAGAAGCCGCTGAAGAATCTTCACGAGTACCCTTCTTGCAAGTCATATGTACAGCTGCTTGCTTCTCTTTAGGCAAACCTGAAGTTGTTTCATTCTTCCTTCTTCTCTTCTTTGTCTCTGAATTATTATTAGGTGATGTATGATCAGATTGATTTTGATCTTTCTTCAACATCTCAATATCAGATTCTGGCTTCTTTCTTTTCTTGCTAGCTTGATGCTTCTTGTATACTTTGTAGTAGGACCCTTGGCGATATAATGAGCTTCTGTAGATAAATATGAAGTCCACAATTCTTTTAAGAGAATTCAAATCCCTAGGAACTTGTGGACTAATAGCTGCAAAGTGGATTTCAGACAGAACTTCACCCAAAGGAACCTGAATTTTCATTGTATCAATAGTCTTGTGGTCACCATCTTCTGGTGTTTGGTAATTTGAGCTATCAGGAAGGTCCTGTTCTTTGGCAAGTTCCATGGAAAAATTCACCTGAAGTGCCTCACCATTACACTTCAAAGGTACAGGGGAGAGTAGAAGCTGATCAGAAGCTCCTGTCCCTGGCTCTGATACAAGAGCTTCGCTAGAAACTTTAAGGGATTCTGATTCTCTGTCTCCTTTCCTCTGCTCTCTGGTTGGAATAGTGAAAGGAGGGGACAAATACTTGCTTTTCTTTCTTTCTCTTGACAAAGAACCCTTCTCATTTTGTTGCTTGGCTTTCCTTTTTCCCTCAGTCCCCTTTTTCCTACCACTACTAGTGTTTTCATTACCAAAAGCTTTTCTCTTCTCTTTCAACTGCTGCAATGTCCCCTTGTCACCACTGCCATCATTTTCATCACTCCGCATGTTTCTATCAGTATTTGCAAGTAACCCTTTTCTCTTATGCACTGGTTTAGATGTCATTGCATCCTCACTGCCTTTCTTCTTCTTTCTAACTGTTGCTTTTTCAGATGCATCTACCTTCTTATTTTTGGTATTGACATCTTTGTCCTCACCCATAATCTCAGCAATGCTTTTCTGCTTAATTCTATGATTCAATCTATTTCCTGAAATCCCATGTGAATAGCTCAGTTCAACAGATTTTGGGTTCACTGGCAAGGTAGAGTAGTCCTCTTCAAATGGCCCCTGGACAGGTGCTTCCACTGCACCCTTACTGCTGCCTACATCCACTGTTTTGTCAATTAAATTATCTTCAAGCCCAGGAACAGGCCGGGGCGCCTCATACCTAGGTAATCCATAACCTCCTCTTGATAGGTAAAAGGCTGAAAGCCGAGCCTTTAATATTTCCAGCTCCAGAATATTACCAATGGAAATAATTTTGGCAATTTGTTTCACCCGAGAAAGTAATGCTGCTGGATCAATCAGAACATCTTGAAGTTTCTCGACACCATTTTCAGGGATAAGAACTCCCTCCTTGACTCCAGAATTGCTCGCCAAGGGCCGAGTAAATTCAGACCCAATTTCCATTTCAGCACTTGAATAAGTCATCTTCAAATCCAACAGCCTTCCAACCTCACTTACAGTTTCCTGTACAGCATTCATAAAAGCCCTAGCGCTACTCTGCTTCACCATATCCTCAAAGTTTTCCTCAAACGGCTTCAATTGAGAAGGATGGCACCAAGCGAAGGTTCCATCCCCAAAGTAAGCCACAAGGAGTCTATTCTTTTGTCTCAGCTTCAAAGCAAACTCTGAAGCATCAGAAGGGTCATAAATCCTTCCAGGCCACCAGGGATGACTCTTAATTTTCCCCCATATAAAATCACCAACTGAAAACCCACCATATTCTTCATCACCCAAATCTTCCATTTCCAAATCCTTGTTGTCACTTGTATCAACAATTGGAACATCTACGGTCATACTTTTCTCATATCGGTCATCTTCATCCTCACTTCTCTTCCAATCTTTTCTTACTCCTTCCATTCCAACCCCAAAAGAAACACCCCCAGCATTCAACTTCCCAGAACTATCACTCTCACTGCCATAAGAAAACATCAAGCTCCTACCACTCCCTCTCATTTTCAATAAAGATGAAACCCCGTTCATCTCAGAATCAGCCAAACCATCCACCACTCCTCTCCCCACAATATCCCCCTCCACCAAAACCTGGGTCTCAAAGACCCTGCTCTTCAAAACTTCAACAACCCCACCATCACTAAAACCTTGGCTTTCATGGCCAGAGAAACCAACCCCGTTTTCTGAGGCCCCATTTTTCAAAGCACACAGAGCTTCCCTTAGCTCATTCTTGTCATTCTCTGGCGAAGGCGATGAACACCCAGATGGGTCCTTTGATCGAGCCTCCACCGTACCCATCAAACAAGATAATCTTCTTCTCGAGAAATTCAACCTAATCAGCGAGGAAAGAAAAAAGAATCAACACATTCTAGGGTTTTGTTTTGATTCCATGAAAGTAAAACGAGGATACAGAAAAATCAGAATACGGGGATTTAAAATATTAACCATTAATTAAAAAAATGATACTTATATAATAATGTTTTATAAAAATATGCAAAAAGGAATCAATTATCAATTAGGAATAATAAAAGAGGAACAAAATAGGAATACCTGAAGAACCGAGAGAGCTAGGGTTCCCAAGAAGCTACTGTATGTGCCTTGAAGCAGCCCTCAAATCAAAACCATTGACTTGGGAATCTGATCAGATTGACATGCAAGAAGAAGAATGTGATTCTTAGACAACACATAAATATTAATTTTTTTTTAGTTTTATTATTGTAGTTAATTAATAAAAACAGAAGGCGCAGTCACAGTCAGAGTCACAGAGAGGGAGATAGAAAGCAAAATCTCGAACGTTGATTTGCATGTATCGCGAGATAACCGCAAGTGACAAAAAAGTTTTCGTTTTCTCTTGATTTTTTGTTATTACAGCTAAGCTATTCAGGCGTTGGAAAGTGAAACTGACTCGGCGATATTTTACATTTCGATGTTCTTGAGGGACAACACCCACTTGCTCGAGTAACACACCTCTGCGTCTACTCGCTTTCTTTTGATGCCATATTTCGCTGTTTTTCTTCGCAACTTTTCTATTTCAATTTTGAACGAAAATTTATTTTTTAATTATCTATTTATTTAAAAATTTTACATATTATCAATTATTTTTAATTATATGTTTATCTCTATCAAATTTTTAAACGTTTTAATCTATTTATCACAAATGAGAAAAGTTAATAAAAATTTATTAAAAATTATTTAATAGCTCAAAAAATATTAATTATATATTTTAATTTATATAATATCAGTAAATATATTACAAATATTTCATTTTAATTTAAATTAAATTAATATTTTTTCAAATGAAGGATCTCATTAAAAAATTCTCAATCTTATAACCGTTGATTATTTTAATTTTGTAATTTAATTTTAGTATTTATTTTCATAAAATAATATTAATTTTAGTTTTTAATATAAAATAAAGAATTTTGGTCAAAAAGAATTTAAAGAAACATACAGAATATATTAGAGTTTTTGCATCTACGTCTCAATGGTACAAAAAGTAATAATATATATAAAAAAAATATCAAAGAGGTAACTAAATAGCTTAATATAAAATTACTAACTATAACAATGGTATTAAAAAAAGTCAAGAGTTTTGATATAATTGTTAGTAGGCTAGCTAATTAGTCAAAAAATTTATGTTAATTACTCTGACTTATTTTTAAAATAATGAAAAGTAGTGAATTTTCAAAGTTTTGTAAAAATATTTGTAATCTAATTTGAGTTAGAAATAGATATGAAATGAAATAATTTTTTTATAATGTGAAAAATCAATGTCATTGTATATTTGTTCATTTATGAAATATTAAATTAACATCAATTTGACATGTTGACTTTATCTTAATGTAGTAAAGTAAGATGTAGAATAGGAATAATAAAATATTGTAAAAGAAAATAAAATTATTATGATTCACAAATTACTATAATTCACAAAATGTTGATGAAAAACATCATATTTTAATTTAGATGATGATTTTAAACATTGTATTTTGCTTTTTAGATTTTTAAAATATAAGAGAATTTTATAGAAAGATATTGTAACTAGTGATGGATTGTCTTCAATCATGATAGGCACTCCAGAGTTAATAAAAGCCTCTTGAATAAAATAGTTCTTGGTTGAGAGCACCATTTATATATTGCAGGACATAGATGATTGATAATGAGAAATAGTGGCAGCTAACATAAATTGACAAAGTTGTTGAACAACAAAAGTGATATATGGTTATGTTGTGGTTAAGTAAAGAGGTTTGCCAACTAACTTTTGAAAGGATGAAATGTTATACTTGTATCTCAAAGATGTGAGAAAACACAAAAGTTCATCAAACCACTAGCAACTAGCTTGTTGGAGGGCAAATAAGAATTTATGAAGTAGACAAGTTTCATGATATTAATACATTGACGCCTTAAAGTACCTCTATGAAGACCTCTTCATGTAGAACACCATGTAAGAATGTGTTACTAATATTAAACTGTTATCAGCACCATTTCGATGAAGTTACTATTGTTAAAATAAGTTTCACAATAAATATTTTAGTAATAAGAACAAATGTATCAAAATAATGTATGCAATATAATTATAGACATATTGGTTAAAATTAATAAACTTATTCTTCTTACAGATTTTGTGACTATTGGATATGATGGAAGACATATAGATGTCTCTCATTCTTGGATGACTATTCCTAGCTATAAGTGAAGCATTGATTGATGTCCAAAGCAGTGAGCTCATGTTAAGAGTGCATGATGACTAGGTAACATTTAATATCTTTAGGGTTATGAAGTATCTTATTAAGAGTCTTGACTAAATGAAAGTGCACTACTTAGATGATATAATCTATGAAGATTTTAATAAAAATGAACATGGAATAACAAAAATGTAGTGTGACATCAAAATGATGAAAAGTGGTGTGAGAATAATGAAGAACCTAAATGTAGGAATCAAGTAGAGTTAAATCCATCTAAAGAAAAGTTGATAAATAAGAAAAATCTAAAGAAGAAAATAGCATTAGAATAGAAATAGCTACCAACTTGTCAGGTTAGTATAATTATATGTATTTATTATTATGCCGACTGATTAGAGTTGCGTAAACTGGAACCATGTGAATTAGTCATATGTTGAAACATAAAGGTTGTGTAATTGTCGGATAAGGAGCAGAGTATTTGTTGAGCCATATGATGATGTTGATATATGTGAAGTGCTTTGTGAATTGAAGAATGATGGTTGAATGTGTTGAGTGTTTGGATAATTTAAAAAGTATGATTAAGAATTGGTAGTATTTCATTTGAGAGAGAAATTTTGGAGTCTGGGTGCAGGGTATCTTGCTCAAGCAAGATTAGTCTCGCCTAAGCTAGAGCAGATAGGATTGCCTCAGTTGTTACCTCCCTTGAGCGAGAATGAATCTCGCTCAGGCGAGAGGTGACCTCGCTCAAGCGAAAGGTGTTTGCTCAAGCGAGGTGTCGTAGGAGTAATAGGTAGCTCTTTGGACGCAATCTCGTCCAAGCGAGAATGTTGCTCACCCAGGTGAAATGCATCTCACTCAAGCGAGAATATCAAAAATTTGAGAGGTTTCATTGTCTGGTTTTCTCACCCAAGCAAGGGTTGGCTCGCCCAGGCGAGAGCACGTCTCGCTCAAGCGAGAATTAGCTCGCTTAAGAGAGAGCACTCACGCTGGAGGGGTATTTAAGGGACTTTAGTGCCCAAAAACTTTATTTTCTCACAAGACAATTTTTCTCTCACACTTTCTTCCTATTCTCTCTCCTATTACCTTAGAGAAAACCTTCTCGAAGCCAATTTTTTCCCTGATCAAAGCGAGATCTTCTATCTCCTCAAGATCTAGGTGAGTTCTCGAAGCTCAATTTTCAGTTTTTACCTTATTTCTTTACGTACTTAAATCGGGTCATTTTAAGTGGATCTAAATCGTTCAAGCTTTATTCCACACCTAAATGGTTGATCTCTCTCTACGAAACCCACTAGGAGCACTATCTCGGAACTCATTCTAGGTAAGGGAAGCTTACCTAATATGATCTAGTTCATTTAGTAGAGACTGAGATGTTTATATAAAAGATTTCATTATAGCTGAAAATAGTAAGCTGTATAAGTTAAATCTTGAGCTAGAACCCAAAACTTATATAGTTCAATAAATTTTATTATTATCGAATGAGTGTATTTCTTATTGTATGATAAATATTTGTAGTGTTGTGGTGGAAAATGATATGTTGATTTGTTGTGATAAATGAGTTATAGATGTAAATATATGCTGAAATGCTGAGTTTTGCTGTGAATATATGAGTGACTGTACTATGGAGACTGAAAATGAATATTTTGTTGTGCTGTAATATGTTGATTTAGCTGTGCTGCATCCTATTCATTGTCATCATTTTAGAGCTGATTAGGATGCTAAGTTGTGCTGTGTCTAGATCCAGATACCGGGATGGGTCGGTCCTAGATCGAAAAACAATTCCTCTGGATTACTTAGGCTGTGAAATCAAATGAAAACCGAATCACTACATTTGCATTAGATGGGCTGGGAATAGGCTGAACATGTTACATTGCTTTATTGAAGTTGTGTTATGTTGTGTGCTGACTGTTATGAGCCGTTTAATAATTTTATCGATATTCATTCATATTTCATTGATAAGGTTGTCAAATATATAAGCTCACCCTTGCATTTTGTTGTGTTGGTATGTATGTGCTGCAATGATTGTACGATGATACGTGAGCAAAAGGTACAGGGAATGTGTCTACTTCTCAAGCTGGAAGGTCTGGCTAAGAGATGTTGGAGTTAACTTTTTGGAATATCAGAATGTTAATCCTTCTGTGGACTAGATTTTAGGCATTAAGTATAGACTGTTAGATTTTTAATTTGCTAAGGAATGTAATTACATTTTGAACCCTTGTATTTTGAAAACTCTCACTGAATCAATATGTTGTACATATACATATAAATTTTATGTGAGTTTGGTATTATCTGAGAAATGGTTAAAGCAGTTTTGTTATTTTGTTAATGTGAATGTTGAAGTTCTATTTGCTATATGTTTATGCTTCTAAATTATATATATATAATATGAAATAAATGAATAAAGTAATTAAGAATGGTAATACGAAATATCATTGATTCTTTATAAAAAGGGGTCGTGACACAACTCACCTTAGGTATTATTTTCTAGGAAAGAATAAGACACAGTCAATGTTAATTAGTAGTACACTAAATGAGTTAGAACATAAAAAGTTATTGAAAGTATTGATTGAACATAAATATGCTTTAGGATGCTAAATTTCAAATTTAAAAGGTATTAGTCCAATATTATGCATACATAAAATACTTTTATAAGAAGACTATCAACTACTAGTGTAGTAGCGATCGTGACTTGGCTCGACTAGTGTCATAGCAACACTATCGCCCAACTACCACCTGTAGTGTTATATTTGCACTAGTACAGAAATGGCTTTCTACAACAGGAATCTACATCGATTAACCAAAAACCAATGCCAAAAAAAAAAGAGAATTAGCATGTTGTAAATTGTAAAGTGAGAATTACCTCTCTAGTGGTATCGTGGTACAAATATGACAAAAGTAGCTTCATGAAAAATTTTTAAAAAATAAAATAAAGAGAAGCTAAAATAGTGTACATAAATTTTAAAATAAAGGGGGTTCTCCACATTAAGTTAAAAAGAAAAATT